CATCATCATCATCATCATCATCATCATCATCATCATCATCATCATCCTCCTCTTCCTCTTCCTCTTCCCCTCCTCCTTCCCCCTCTGGCTGCCCTGGCCTTCTTTCGCAAAGCTGCTATATCTGGGGTGACCATTAGAGGGCAGCAGAGCGCCAAAGTCCTCTCAGTGCTGCCCTGTAGCGGGCATTCAAAAATGTGCTGCCTATTGTTTGCTCCTCGTAGTAGCCCTTGGTCCACCCCTGGCTTGCCTATCAAAACCCAGCCGAGGTAGCCAGATTCCCCTCCCTCGTTGCCTCGTCGCCCTGGCTCCAGGGATCCCCAGGATGATCTAGACCTGGGCAGAATCCGCAAGCTTTGCCCACCCGCAGTCCTGCCATTGGATTTTTTTCTCCCGAGGCGGTGGAAAAACGTGGGAACGGCTTGTTGGGAGGGCGCGGGGAGGCGGAAATCTTCCCTCCCTCCCTCCCATCCGTTCAGTCCGGGGTTGTTTCTTACCGATGCAATTAATTCCTCTACGGAGGAGAAACTTTGTTTTCTCCCTTCATACTTAAACATCCCCCCCTTTTTTTCCTTTTTAATTAAGAAACTAGGAAAGACGTCGCCTCAGCAGAGTTTTCCTCTTGATGAGGCGATTTTCTGCCCGCCTTTCCATGCGCCTCGTTAGCGCAGTAGGCAGCGCGTCAGTCTCATAATCTGAAGGTCGTGAGTTCGAGCCTCACACGGGGCAAAGCAACTTTTTCGCCCCGATCAAGAAAATAAAAACAAAAAAAACTCCATTCATTGGACCTTAGGTAATAAGGGGACCCCTGAGGGCCATCCAAACGGCTTGATTTTTCGGGAGCAAACGCCTAAGGCTGCTTCCGGGAGGACGGCAAGGAGAGCAAAGACTCTAAAGTGCTCAGAAATGACTTTGCCTCTTCCAATGCTTACAACTTAATCTGTACTTATTAAGTATATTTCTTATACATTTACTTCTGGGCGCAGGTGCATTTATACCAAAATTTACTTTTGTAAAAAAATAATAATACTGGCATTTATTTTAGGGGCAAGCATTTGGATCTGCTGCAACTTAAGATTGCTTTTCCTTCAAAAAAGGGCAGCTTGTGATTTTCAGCCAAAGGGCCAGTTTTTTTAAAAGTGTCTCTGTCTTTTATCACAGCAGTATTTGGATCTTTTTAGATACAGGATCCTCTTTTATTCAGAAAGTACACTCAGAAATCCTTTGGCTGATCTTAAGAGGAAACCCACCCCACTAATCAATGAATTAAAGCTGTGATTTTTCAAATCTCAGCAATGTTAAGATAGGTGTACTTCAACTCCCCTTGGTTGACTGGGGCATTCTGGGAGTTGAAGTCCATACGTTTAACAGACTAACAGAGTTGGAAGGGACCTTATAGGTCATCTAGTCCAACCCCCCCTCCCTCCCACTCAAGTAGGAGACCCTACACCATTTCTGACAAATGGCAGTCCATCTTCAAAGCTTGTCGCTTGCATTCCCAAAGAACACCCACACTTTTTGTGACAGCTATTCTGTGGTGCTAATTTTTGACACTGTGCATGAAAATCTTCCCTCTGGCCATCTGCGATATTGTGCGAATCATCAAAATAGGATTCATGAACCAAGATAAGCACATGGTTCACTTCTGAGGTTTCTGGAGAACGTACCTTGTCACTAGGCCCGCAAATAAGATTAACAGTATTAACAGAGTTGGAAGGGACCTTGTAGGTCATCTAGTCCCCCCCACCCCCGGCCAAGCAGGAGACCCTACACCATTTCTGACAAATGGCAATCCAGNCAACTCCCAAATACTTTCAGGAACATTCCCTTTGATCCAATGCTCTGCTGCCACCTGGTGGCCAACCAGTCTCTCCTTGTCCTGCTCGGCGTCGACACCCTCTCCAGGGTCCTCCACCTCCTCCAAAGCCGACTCATAAGCCCCCTCTCTGTCGGAGTCTGGCGGCAGCTCCAACGGCTCCTGCCGGGCCACAACAGATGACCATGCAACTGACCACTGGAGCAGCCAAGCAATAGTCCACATAGTGACCGGGAAACAATGGAGTGGGTTCTGTGGTATCAGCCTAACTGGTACTCCTCCCCCCAGCATCCGGAGGAGGGAGAGAGCGTAGTCCCAGCTTCATTTTCCAATAGCCATCTTCCCACAAGATGGTCAGATCTAATTTGTCCAGCCATGCCAATCCCAGAATGACCATTTCAGTCATTTTTGGTGTCACAGTGAACCAGATGAACTCCTAGTGACGACCCATCTCCAGCTGTCCATGTTTGCTGACTAGGGTGGCAGGGGCTCGCCCAATTAGTGACCCATTGACTTATTTGAAGCTTATGGGGCTGGCTAAAGGTTTAGTCCGAATGCCTAGCTTCTGATAGAGAGGGAGGATGATCAGGCACCAGGTGCATCCTGTGTCTATGACAGCCTCTACTCTCCCCCTGGGCTCCTGTCTTGGGCACCACTAATCTCGACTTAATAGTGAATGGATTGATGGTTTTACTTACCATTGGGTCATCCTTGCTTTCATCGTCACTGTTGCCTGCTGTCAGAGGTGGTGCCTCTTGAGCTCGAGTTCCCCCTTCCTTTTGGGCGGAAGGGAGAATTTGCTGGCCTGGCAGCATTTGATTGATGTCATTGAGGTTCCCCTGGGCTGCTCTTCCACTTGGTGGGAAGCA